GCATAGTGTCGACTGCAGCAAATACTTCTGAGAGTCGAGCCTGAAAAGAACCGGAGAAAATGACAACAAAGTGTGAAGTTTGGGTGCACCATGCTGAAGGTTTCAAAGGTACCATACCATAATGCCTGTTAATTCTGCTAGTCAATAGTGCATCACAATTGGAGATGTTATTTACCATGTAATAATAACATTTTACGTTTATCTGTTATTCATAGAAAAATTTCAGGAACACGGTTGTGTTCGAATGAAAGCCACCCGGGGAAAAACAAAACATGAGGAAGATGGGATTAGTCCAAGTCTTTGCCTGATTTGGTCCAGTGAGAGGGCTGCACGAGTGACTCGCGAGATGTGCATACTTGCAAGCTAAAAGAGAAACCAATCCCCTGCTTTATCGACCTGGTGTGACCCGTTTAATCGTTCAGTTCAAGTCGATGACTAAACTCCGTACATTTTTGTACTCACCCAATTTATTTATTGAATGGTGGTGGGTCGGAATCCTAGAGTGATGGATCTCAATGAATCTCAGTTCTGACGGCACCATTGTCATGAAAAAACGGTATTTCGGTGAAGCGATGTAAACAGAGAAAAAACGTATTTAAACTTACATCCAGTTCACGAAGTTGAGTCTCGGCCGCAACACGAGCACGGCGCTCCGCTGTGAATGCTTGCTTCAGTTTCTGCGTGGCTTCCAAAGCTTTGTTTTCATCCACGGCTTTAAAGTTGGAGTACGGAATTTGAAGATAATATACATAAACACTATTATATGAACTGTCAAAGAATGGTAAATAAAGACAAAAATGAAAGAGTGAAACAGTTTTTATTGTAATGGGATAAAATGTAAGTTAGTTCATCGATTGATTGGGCTTGCTCATCTTCCCGACTTCATCCCCGGCTCATGCTATCCACTCTACATTCAGGAAGTGTCAGGTTTTGTTTTTCTTAGAGCACCCCGGTGGAGCATATTTGACGACCGGTCCGGGATTTCAACTCCGGACCAATTCTATGGAAGACATGTGGATGTGTTACCACCGTCTCGACCAACTCATATTGGAGTTGACCGGAGTGACCAATTCTTATTTCTTTTCAGATTTTCTCTTAACCGCTATTCAATTAGTTAATTTCGGATCGAGAGCAGCGAGAATACACACAATATAGCCACCAAATCAGGTCTCCCTTGCAGGTCCGGGAATGGTGTGGCAATTTCGATAGCATAGAAATACTATGATTTATGGAGTTGCAAGCTTGGATTGGTCCATTCGATTGTTAAGAGGCAACAGGCACTCTTGATGGATGTGTTTCACTGTTTACGAGATCGTTAACTCCCCCTACAAGTTCATGAATTTACATGCGATGGAAATGTTTGTGATAACTGACAAGGAGCACTGGACAACTGTTTCGTCCTGATTGGGACTCGTCAGCAGTGCGTACTTTTTGTGTCCCTGTCAGGACTCGAACTTTCGGGTTGGGACTTCAAACCCTTACCCCTGAGCTACACGGTCAACGGTCATCACTTAGTGCGAATGGCTAAATCAATTCTTTTTAGAGTAGCAAACTCGGATTAGCCCATTCGATTGCTAAGAGGCACCAGACACTCATAATAGTCTATGATATTCCTTTTTGGTATTTCATTCACTAACCAAATATGGGGAAGTAATAGAGCAGGTGGATAAGTTTTGTTATTTGGGCAGCTACATCTCACCCGGTGGACGCATCACGGATGAAGTGTCAGCTTGCATACATAAAACTCGGTTGGCATTTGCCAACTTGAGACACCGTCGCGACATTAGGCTATCTGTGAAGGGTCGAGTGTATGCCGCTGCAGTTCGACCAGTTCTGCTATACGGCGCAGAAATTTGGCCATTAGGAAAACAGGATAAAGACAGATTGTCGGTGTTTGAACACCGCTGTCTACGTAGCATTGCACGAATCTGGTGGGGTAGCCGGATGAGCAATGCTGAGGGTAGGCGCAGAGTTTTGGGTATCCGCGGTCGCCCACTGGAGCAAATGGTTGACCTCCATAGATTACTTCGGTTGGGACATGTGTTACGCATGTCACCAGATAGGTTACCACGGCGATCGATGTTCGCCGAAGCAAACACCGAGTGGACAAAAGCTAAGACCTGGCACAAGGGTATGAAAACCCTAACCAAGAGACTGGGTCATATAGGTCCTGTTAGGCTCCCTGGCAGGGGACCTCGGGATGATCGTAACCGATGGTTAGAGACACTGAGTGATATGGCTGGGTGTCGCAACCAGTGGCGTTCGTGCATCTTCTCAATTTCTTTGCAACCTTAGTCCATTGAGATTTTTAACTCCCTCTTCGATCCTACTTCTAACCTTCCCGTTTTCCTCGTATTGGTCACGCAAATGGAAAGACAAAATCGTCTCAAGAAAATGCATGCTCAATGGTTGTTTTAACTGAACTGAACTGAACAGCACTCTGGAGAACCCCAGAATCTTTCACTAACGGTTTTTGTTATAGTGCTGATTGATTTCGTTGTTTGTATCTATGCCTCGAAATTGTCTTTCACCACAATATGTTAGTGGAGCAACCGAACGGCTGTAACTTCCAGAGAAGAAAAGATCGTGGAACGGAATCAAAAGCGGAAGAGTAATCGACAAAAACACAACAAAGGAATTTTTGCGAATCATATAAAGATTTGCAAATATAGTTCATCCGTAAAGAGACAGCATTCAAAGTGCATTTCATTGGCTCAAACTGAAAAGGGGTCATTGGGAAAGTGATATCAGTACTGATAGTCGTTCTCTAACGAATAAAATCGTTCTACACCGCCTCCGATGGCTCTTTCATGTTTTGCCTGTGCCCGCCCATCGTCTGCCTCTCCGTGTTCTCTTTGCACGTGCTGGACAAGGTTGGAAGAAGCGCCTCGGCGGTTACATCATGATATGGTGTAGAGTTATGAAGAAGTTAGCCTCAGCATTGGCTTCGGTTGATGCAGCTCGTCTTCCAGGCTGGGGCCCAACGGATGAGGATTGCCGATAGTTGGAGACGCTGAGAGATATGGCTCACAGTGTATGTCAGTGGCGCGGTTGCTGTGCGGTTTGTTTGTCAAAAGCCCGTTCCCGATAACAGATAAAAAACTTCAAAAAGTGTACGGTGAAGCTATCAAAAAATCATTCATTCACTAGTTCATTCTACTAGTTTAAGTCCAGAGGAAGTGATGGCGATGAGACGAAAGCGTTTAGAT